TAGGGGATCAGACGCAACAAGACAGGAACTGGAATGACGCCTGCTTGGGAAAGCGATATTGCTCTTCGTAATTGGTACGCTCTTCAACTGACTCGAAATAGTAGGCCGCGCGAAATGTGGGGCCGAAGAAGCTCTAGTCGCGGGTGGCCGTTGGGGAGGCAGGAAAACAGAAGAATGAGCAGTCGCTGTGGCGCAGGTAGTAGGTTCCGCGGTAGGTGCCAATTCGAGTTCTAAGCCAACAGCCGATGGCTCGCTGTACCACGAATCACACTCCGGTATAGACCCAAGCGTTTGGTCCATAGAATCCTCGTTGAACGTAAGAAGAGTCTCTTGTAACATCGTGTCCGAAACATTCCACGAACTCAGCGCCTCTTCAATATCACATCCAGTGTCCAAAAGAGAGGTATCCGTATTACGCCAGGGAGAGTGAATCGAGACAATGCCAAAACCCGTGAAAGGCCCACTCCCGTCCTTTTTCGACAGACCGATAATTCCGAGACCGCAGTGTTCCTGAATCGATGCGAGTCGTGATGGAGGTTCGAAATCAATGGAGCAGAGAGAACTATCCAGAGACGAAGGTTCGGTGTCATCCTCGGCATCAGCATCGGTCGATTCTGCCGCAGGGTTGTCTTCCAGACCTCCAGGGTAGTTCCTACATGGACTATTAAAAGGAACGAGGATATAAGGAACGTCGAGGAGTGTCGAATGTTGTGCCGAGAGTGGTGGGCGAGAAAGCGGGATAAAGTGGAAACCTGTTGATTCGTCCCAGTTCCAATGACCCTGTAGTGCAGTGTAATGTCCTTGAATGAAAGCGATAGTCCTGATGGCCATGGCGGTATAGATAGGAGATAGTAGCTGTGGAATGAAATCAAGTCTGCATTTGTTTCTGGCGGCTGACGACGTTTATGATGGACTGTCGGCACTCGCCGAGATCACTTTTGCCGCAGTGCCGCCCCACCCTCTAAAAAAGACTTCGCTAACTAATGACGTTCGGACTCGGAGCGAATGCGACTACTGTACGGGGAATACAAGTTGGCGATTTAAGGGAGCGATTAGGCGTTTTGTCTTCCTAATCTTCCATCTGGAACAGGAGAATGTTCTGTTGAATGTGTATTGGGAGTCAATACACTATCAGTCATATGTAAAAGATGCTTCTGTGGTCCAGCCATAGGTACACGCAAGCTCCACTGTTGATGCCGGGGCTTCGAAAACACCAGCCAACTATGTTTATTTTCGGGAGAACACTCGAAAAACTCTGTTCGACGTTTCTCCTTGCATATATGCCATTGCAATTGTTTTATGTTACCAACATTCTTACTCCTGCGCCACTGGAGCGGAGATATTGCCAAGAGTCTGGGGGAAATGATCGTCTGGAGAGGTATCTAACCTCGTATTAGGAGTCATTTGCATCCATCACACCGCCCATATAATCCAGGTCAAAAGGATGATAGCTTCATAGATGATGATCATCACAGAGTGCGCTTTGCGTCGATAAGATGAAGTTCTTCTAGCCTATGGTGATGAGCATCACAATATAAATATAGAAAACGCCACGCGACTCTGAAGGTTCGGGATAGGAAATTGGCCGCCAGTACAAGGAGCTAATTCAGGCTTGCAAGACCAAAACGTAAACGCAGCGGAGGTTTTCAAAGCAGAATGTAAGCGCAGCGGGTCTCCCCAGCCTTTTGTCCACCATAGTGTCGTTCAAAGGGCCTCAGTTGGACGAATTGGTAATATATTGTAGAAGATACGTCGCTCTACGGATCATAATGCTCGTGACCGTCACTTCTGTCATTAAGCGCTCATGCTTCGTCAGGTCCGACACCGGTGCCACAGACGCGTACCACCGCGTTGGCCCAAAGGAGCGTAGCCGCGTTGGTTGCCTGACCCATTTGGTGAATAAGCTTTCAAAAGACCCCTATGCTTAGTACTGGTACGATTAGCAGAGCCCGAATCTATCGCATACGATACATGTGAAACAGTAATCGTGAGACACCGGTTCCAACCCATCTCCAGTCAAGTATATAAACCCCACTGAGAAGGAAAGAGAGAGTAGCTACTCTTTGCCTCGAGCCCCCGAATATTGAAGCAATGGTCGCGACTTATACTCACCACTTTGACACTTCCCTCTACAAGGGCAACGTTACTGTTCACACAGGGTACGTATAACCTCAATATATGCGCAGATCCATTCTGAAAAGACAACCAACAGCTTGTACATCGACGGAAAATGGGTCAACCCCATTGAAGGAGGTTCGATTGAGTGAGTCGTCACTCGTAGTACAAGACAATAATGCTCATGCATCCCACTCGGTCAAATAGCATTGTCAACCCCAGTAAGCATACCACATGTCACAGCAAGGAATCTGTGCTAAGCGCCCCTGTAATACAGCAAATGGAAAGGTCATCACAGCTGTTGCAGGCGCTGGCGCCAAAGACGTCGACGCCGCTGTCAAAGCTGCTAGAAAGGTCCGTGGATTCCGTAACTTGGATCATCATGTGGTGAAGACAGCCAGCTGACCCATACGCAAACAGGCTTACAAGACATCTTGGGGTCTGAAGGTACCTGGAGCAGAACGCGGAAAGCTCCTTGATAAACTTGCGGACTTGGTTGAGAAACATCAACACCAATTGGCCGCATTAGAAGCCCTCAATGTCGGTGCGTACATTGCTACTTAGACCAAATGAGATCACGATGGTAACATGTACGACAGGTAAACACTATCACATGGCTCTTGGTATGGACCTCGCGTTTTCGATTCAGACTTTGAGGTACTATGCTGGATGGTCGGATAAGGTCCAGGGAAAGACCATTGAAGTAGGTGACGTTTCTTATGATCACTCATCCGCATATATCTAAATACTATCCAATCAGACAAACGACAAAAAGCTAGCATATACAAGACACGAACCTTGGGGAGTAGTGGTGTGTTACACACTGTCCTGAATGAAGATCGCCACTGACTTGAATATCCAGGGAGCAATTGTTCCATGGAATTTCCCTCTCGTGCGTATTCAAGAGCTTGAGCCCCTTGCTCACACTCATCACTTCAATAGATGATGGCCATGATAAAGCTTGGTCCTGCTTTGGCCACAGGCAATGTCGTTGTACTCAAGGTACTTCTTCACGATCAATTTCACAACCCTTAGCTAACCAGCATCAGCCATCGGATGTTACACCTCTTACCGCCCTCTTCCTTGCCGATCTCATAAATGAGGCGGGTTTCCCTCCTGGTGTTGTGAATATTGTCAATGGATACGGTACGCGTCCTTTCCTGAAGGTGGGCAGCAGAGCGCTAACGTTTTGGGAAATTCAGGGAATACCGCAGGTGCCGCTATTTCTGGACATCCATCCATTGAAAAGGTTGCCTTTACGGGCAGCACCCTTGTCGGACGAAAGATCTTGAAGGCAGCGTCTGAATCTAATCTGAAGGCCGTCACATTGGAACTTGGCGGAAAGAGTCCCACGATCGTTTTTGACGACGCAAACTTGGATCAAGCCATCAAATGGGCTGCACGCGGGATGTTGTGAGTGTGATTAACGTTTTTACTTAATTAATTAGCATCGCTGACGCACCCTATTTAGCTTCAACATGGGTGCGTTATCCTAGTTATGAAATGAATGTGTGCAGCTGAACGATCGTTTAATAGGCCAGGCATGTATTGCCGGCTCGCGTATCTACGTGCAAGAAGGAATCTACGATAAGTTCTTGGAAGGCTTCACACAAGCCGCTCAAGGACTCACGAAAGCAGCGGGTGGGCCTTTTGAAGAAGGGGTCCAGCATGGTCCACAAGTTTCTCAAACTCAATTCGATGTTAGCGCTCTTCTTTTCTCGAGATTGAATTTATCTCATACCTTTATTTATAGCGGGTGATGGGATATATTTCTTCTGGAAAGTCAGATGGCGCCAAAGTGCATGTTGGTGGAGAGAGAGAGGGTGAACAAGGTTATTTTATCAAGCCTACAGTCTTTGTGGATGCGAAGCCGGATATGAAGATCATGCAAGAGGAGATCTTTGGACCTGTTTGTTCTATCGTTAAATTCAAGACTGAAGAGGGTAAGTACTTGGATATTGTCATTCTGGCATGTCCTCTGAATTTTCTCGTTTAATCAGAGGTGACGGAGTGGGCGAATGATACGACGTATGGGCTGGCAGCGAACATTCTCACCGAAAATAATGGACGTGCTGTTCGGATGGCAAATGCGTTGGAGGCTGGTAGCATCTTCGTAAGTCTGTGATCACTCACGAAGGAGAGGGGGACTAATGACGTATGCCATACAGGTTAACTGTGCGTCCGCGCCTGAAATAGGTCTGCCTTTTGGTGGATATAAGCAATCTGGCCTGGGAAGGGAAATGGGTGAAGCCGCGCTGTATACGTGAGCACTTGCTTCCTTCGTGCTTCTGGGGGGCATGAGTTCATTGTTGACTGTTCTAGGTATACACAGCTTAAGGCTGTCCATGTTAACATTGGTCAAGTTCTGTAAAGTGAGAGATGCAATGTTGTACCTTTTTATATGTGTATCCGTTTGGACTTTTGATAATCATGACCCTTCGGATACGCTTCTACCATTGAGATCTGAGAACAATATGACAGGTTTGAAAGACACCTTTGTTCTTGGCAGCAGTACGAAGATGGTACATCTAGAAGCTTGAGCGCGTGATCTGGACTGGCCCGGGAACCAGACCTTCTAATCATTCGGAACCTCCAATTGTTAATACCTTTGGCCAAGCTCGAGCCAGCTTGGAAAAAAAACAAACCCTGAACTCCACCCCCCAAAAGGAACTTGCTTCGAACAAACTGGTCCGACCGGCGTAACGGACATCTTCGGATTTCACGTCCAGTGAAGGCACTTGTATTTGATTCTTCAAGGGCACTGAAGCCTTTGTCGCTCACTTCCTTGCAGTGCATGTTCGACTAAGCTAACAAGGCCGTTGCCACTGACAGTTTGTTTTTATTTGGCAACAGCCCGCAAAGCACCGGCATGATCCTCCGGCATGATGACCTTAGCTCAGTTGGAAGAGCGCGAGACTGCAATGGATAACCACGTCCGATTTCTTCGGGATCTTGAGGTCGCTTGTTCGAGGCAAGCAGGTCGGATGAATGTCAATATTCACTCTTTTTGACCAACATCATTCTAGACCTAAACTTTTATGGACCGATTACGCATTGAGTCGATGAACAAATAAAGTCCTCGGGAAAGCAGGATTCTCGCGTCATCGTCTTCTGCTTTTGTGGTCACCGTTCTCGGACGGCATGTGCTCTTCGTCCAGATACTGGCTGTTACTAAATTGCACGTTTACCGTCTCGGAGGCGATTAATACCTTATAATATCTCTAAACTTCCCATGTTGTATAGAGGCTCTGCATTCTGCATATCAGATATCAGCTGTGGCTACCTAGCCGCAACAGGATGTAGAGAAGCCGTTTGTGTAAGCGACGGCAACATGCTCATTTGACCCGATGACGGAAACTGCAAATAGCAGATCCCATACGTGTGTGTCCACATCCTTGGCAATTTCCCGCGACTTATCCCGACATAGACATATTGCCTCACTTTTCTTCCACAGGTTCTTGGATATAATTTCTCTGTCAGACCGCGTGTTGATGTGTGACACACACCGCAGAAACTTTATCTCCGGCTTTCCTAAACCAGGGGAAATTTTATGCCGTGACTGACTGTCGCCGGGATGCTGTTGTGTTGATACCTGAAGGTCGACTTGATCGAGTTTTGTCAACTGCATTCTTCGTCTCATGAACGACGAGCTATGGAAACGACTCGTTAATGGGCGTCTACATGACTATCACAACAACTGTGAATAAATCTCGAAATGCAGTTTCAAAATATGTTGACACTTGATGCTCGTTGCTGTGAGGCCTAATCTCCCATCTGCTGGCACCTCTACCTCGAGTCCGCGATGATATAACAACTGAATGCCACGTATCAATTCCGCTCGACTTCGCATTAATGACACTCCAAGTCCTTCCTTTTTCCACCCGTCATCGCAACGTGGGTAATGCAGAATCACATGCCTTTTCGATACTGTCTCTACGTCGTGTTGATTTCACGTCGTGTTGATTTCACGATCTCCCTGCGGTATTGACTCGCGACGCTCCACACTACCGCTGGCAGGCCCACTATTTCTGGAACATCCAACGTTTAGATCAGGTTTGGGTCATGTTGATGAACATCACCCTTCACCGAGCGAGATCCTCGTAGCTTAGTCCCAAACCGTCGTCATCGCGTTGCAATACTATCCAGCGGTGCGATCGCGGACCCCTTGCCTCCTATGGGGTGAGCTATTTTTCATATCTAATCGCAGTCGATCACTGTGACTGACTTACACGTGTCGAAACAGACGTGGCCCCCACGCCCTTCATTGATGCTTTGACTGGCAAAGAGGCCCGCTAATAGCGGGTCCGTAGTAATTCACCCCCCGACCGGAATGGTGGTGGATTTTCACCTCTTCACTGTTGTGAACCCAGGGGAAGTTGACTCGGATATGGGTACGTTGAGCACTCATTCCTTACATCCTTCATGGGACATACTCAACGATGGCAGTTGAAGAAGATGAATAGTATGTGCTTGCTCTCAAAATAAATCAATAAGTCTACAACAACTTCTCGGCGTCTTTCTACTGAATTTCTTAGCAAGCTGCCCTAATTAATTAATTGAGCGCGTTTATTTGAACCCCGACAGACCTGATGCTAACACAGGTGATGCTAGCTTCGACTTATCTAACTAACCACTCATATCCGTCTTGCACGTCTGATACTGCCTCTCCCGTGTACGGCTTTGCCTGAAACTCTGAAGTACTGCGCAGTGTATTGCCTTCAATACACACGACAACGACTTTGATTAAGTTAGACTGGTCTTAAACTAGTCTTAATCGATGTGGGTCCTCGCTTACATTCAAACGACGTGAATTCTAATTCACTGATCAACCAGCGCCATGGCTCCGTTCGGTTCCTATTCCTCGTCGTACTGCGAGTGCTATTTCTGACACCCATACCTTGTCCCCGCGATCGTGAGCCCGCTACTGACCTCATTCGTCCTAGAAACTTCCTAATTAAAGATCCCCAGTGTTTCTCGTCAATGATACGCGCGTTGTGCTCCCTGGCGTCATGTCCATTGTTCGTGGAGCTTTCCTCATGTTCACTAGACTGCACCATCGGAAGCTCTCCCCTTCGGAGATCCGAATTCTCCTTTGCGGAAGCGCACGTTCAAACCTCATTTGACGCATTTCTATAATATTTCATAATCTACACCGCCGTCTTCTCGTGCTTGCTCGATTGGTGAGCTTGAATAGGCAACTATCAAAGAAACTTTGACCGGCCGGCGTTCATCGCCCCGGTTCCTTCATTTCTTCTTCCTTCCTTCACCGCTCGTAACTTAGCCCGTAGGCTTGCGGTAACTAAAATATTTTTTTTCCCGGAGCTTTATGTAATATTACCTCTCCTTCTCCTTCACAATTTACATTGTTCGGCCTCGCGGCTCTCCTCTGCTACCCACTTGCTGAGTCACGAATCGGCTCTTGCGGACTCATGAATTACCTTTCTTCCCAAGGTGTTGTTTCTGCCGCTCGAAGCAAGTGTTCCCATGTCGTCATGGAGCCCGATTAAGATAAAGCAGCTGACGAAAAGAATTCACCCACCTCACTTTCATGACGCCCGCCCCTTTAACTTGGATTCGTTTTAGCGCTTACGCTCCCCCATGTTGGATGACTAGAAATGGCTAGCCTCATTGTCATTGACTCTATTGTTTCTCATTTTAGTATAACTTGTCCCTAGATGTGGCGCCAACGTGTCTGCGATAGAACACTGACAACGTAACAGTTAAACGACGTATCACCCTTCCTGCGCTGAGTCCACCAAATATATCCACTTGCGTCACCCATACATATTTTTCTTCGTAAAGTGGGTCTGCACGAGACACTCACGAGACTATGGTGCCGCTCTGGCTGCACAGAGTTTGGACCTCGACGATGCCGATCCCCGATCAAGGCTCCCTCGGGTATCCGGAGCTATCAACTTCAGTATGTGACTATCGATAGTGTGTGTATACTGAAGCATCGCGACGTCGGCTATTGTCCGTTTGGCTTTGATTCTATTTGAAACTCTGAAAGCTTTCGTCAGTGTGACTTTCTAATTGAGCCCTTGTTTCCTTTGACTGTCTCGTTGAATAGGGTGCCAGGGCCCGCGGAATGTCGACCATAATCCGTGGACAGATTCGCATTTCCGGGGCCATGTCTCAATGCATTACGGAGGTCAGGCGCAAGTCCGTTCTAATGCAGCACCTAGAAAGCTGAAGGATCGTGGCGCCCAGCTTCCCATCAGAAACGACCCATCATCTTGGCAGGGCCATAATCGAAGACATGTACACTCGAGACGTTCATGCTAGTCATCTTCAGGAGGGCAAGCCCCGGAGCTATAATATCTGGTCAATATTCTTAGAGGCTATTCTCCTGGTGCCAGAACACTAGATACACTCTTTTCATTCATTTACATCCGGTTTCGGGCCTCCACACTCTGAGGGGCTACCGTGGTGCCTTTCGACTGTCTTTTCGTGCAGGGTGCCTGATGCCTCATCTCAACCGATCGGTACCAATATTATATTGTTCTCTTTTGATAAATTACCCTAACTAAAGGAGGGGAGTAATCCAGATATCCACAGCCTCAGCCACCATTTTGAGAACCCGCTCAAGTGAACCTGGGATGGTTCTAGTATCAATTTTAGCACAGACGGCCGAACGGTCCAATCCTTCTATGTGAATGACCCTTTAAGTATGACATGAGGTTGTCCAAACAGCTCCGACGTAACAGGCCCGTCAACAGACGATACCAAAGATACGATACCGGAGATGAAGCCCATCACAACTCTTACTACTTCAATCAACCCATTGAACTTGGTTGTGATACAGGCTTCTGAGCTTTCTACTGGCAAACCTGCAGCGGGGGGAAAGGGATAACCGGAAAACTTGAGAAATGCGACTTTTTATTTATATACGTTTATATAGATCATACCCACCAACGAAATAATTCTCAACTCCTTCGGCTTTATCTGCGCATGGCAAACATAGAAACTGAGGGCTTGTTAAACATAAAGTTGTCAACTTGCAGTAATCAAGATCGCCCCTTGCACTTGTTCTAAGTGCTCCACATTCAACATCCTGTGTTGACTTGCATCTAACAATCCAAGTAGGTCTGGATGGATTCTGTATAAGGCAGCGAGATTTCAAGAAACCCGAGGATATCCGTTGTTCGACTGTTGGCAGTTGCCTGAACATATCACAGCCTTCATGCTATCCGATTCCCTCGTCTGTCATATATGTACCTGACACTAAATTGCTGTTGATGTCCATTAACACGGCGTGGAAATATTTCATTAAATCTTTACTGCTCAGGGCCACCCAGTTATGATCACACACTTCTGTCCCATAATTAAGATCAGCTGAATTGTCAAGATGTCATAACACTGATCATCGTTGATCACCAAAACAAGCGTGTACCAGTTTTCATCTTTTTGGGGTGGCATGGATCAACCAAGTGTCAACCTACAAGATACGTTACCACTAACGGGTAGTGAACGAACGTCCAAAAGCTCCCTGATACGCTGGGTAATTAGGGTCACGGGATGACACTCCTCTTTTCTAGTGATATCGTGGGCCGCATAGGTCGGAGGTACCAACAGGCGGGGGAAATGTTGTCCGTAATCTAAATAATACTCGTTGTCCGTAGCAAATCTGTGACAGAAAGCTTTGGTTTATTGTTATATCTGATATGAGCGAGGAACATCCGCCCGCCAAACGGACTTTCGCTTTTAGCGTGATGCCGTGCGTCTTGGTCTATCTTTCAATTTCAATCGTATGCAACAGCAGCCTACGGTCCGGGGGACCGCAGCTTGTTACTCGCAAGTAATAAAATACATACTGTCACGTAATTATGAGGAATGTGGACAAACACCGCATGCCCAAACCTACATTTGCTGATAAGAATTAATGAATGGGAGAGCTGACCCTTTTAGAAGCCATATACGGGTGGATCCAGGTTCATCTGTCACGTACGTACAGGGTCGCATACCCGACCAAGCAGAAACTGCCG